GTGTAGCTTTTCGCGAAATTCAACACAAGCAAACCAAACCAAGCCTTTAGCGCTTAGTGTTAGGTCTGTATCTATCTATCTATGCACTTAATTAGGTGTCTATAATCTTATTGATTTAACAGTTTGGGCTATGTTATAATGTAGATCCAGATCTAGTTAACACATTAAGCCTAGGCACTAATATTAGACATATGAGATTATAATGTTAATCCAGTTAGTGTTTGATTCGTAGGAATGTTTTAGAATCTAGCCTATACATACTTGTCTGGAAACTCTATAAAGTACACTACATTGTGCAAAATTGTGACCTTTGATTTCAGATATTAGTATTTTTTTTATTATCTTGTAGCCAAACTTGAAATATTTAACAAAGTATTTAATAATTATAATAATAAAAAAACAGCTACTTACCCGAATAAATCATGGTATCAACAGATCGGTTAAAATATGGTGATCATGTTCTTCGACACTCGCAGCACGTCAGTTGATAACGTGTACAAACGGCAACTGTCGTTTGTATGTAGAATTATAAATGGACTTTTCTCTACGTTAAAATACTTTTATTGCGAGCTTTCGGCTCTCATACTGGAGACTTTATCGGGCAACAATCCACTGAGCGAAAAACTCGTTAAACGTAGAGAAAAGCCCGTTTATAATTCTGCAATATAAAGTTATGAGTCTTAAACAACAACTGTCTGCTCGATTGATAATTTATGTTTCCAACCTTTTTACTTATCTTTAAACTTCATTAAAATTGTTAATCAACTTGTTGTCTATTTAATTCCAATACTTTTTCAAAACCTTTCTGAATTTTCCATAATATTTACAGGCCTGGAAACGACGTTCAAAAATTGAAAACTTCTCCAGGATTTTTTAGGATTACGGGAAGTGTGATCATAGAGAACTCTTACTGCACTTTGTTCTGCAGTAGTGTTGCACCTAGTGTAATAATGATGCAGTTAATTACCACAATACTTACTTGTTCCCATTTCATTATGTTACAGTAACATAATACACAAACCTTGCATTTACTTAGCACAGTATTTGTCCACTGTGATTCTACCAAGAGTTAAGATTACACAACACGAGATCTCTTCAATGACAGTAACTGACCACAGTATTTGTACTGATATTTTATTGTGCATTAACGCCAT